GTATTCAGAGACCACTTCTGATTCAGATGAGCCTTTCAACAGTTGGATGTGCTGGCTGCTGGCACAGCATCTTGACAGTTCTAATAGGCCATGTTGTGTGTGATATCATGGCTGTAAGTCTGATCAGACTGCCACACGCGTGATTACCATGGATTCACCATTGAATGTGGGTAGGCATCGGCCTACAAGTGGGACTGGACATGAATGCATGCCACGGTGACGATTACAGCGTGGAAGTTCATGATTGCACCATGTAATTGTCAAGTTATTCACACAATTAGCGGCAGGGCACCGGTACTCTTCAGGAGGGGCAGTCACACTGGTAAGTGTCAGGCTGGCCGCAATCCCAGCAAGAGTAATCAACTTCTGATGAAACATCTTCAGCAAGTGCCTGACCAGGATTCTTTTGTTTTGTTGGGGTATTGAACTTGCAAACAGAAGGGGTGTAGTCAGGTGTAGGTTTTGAGCCTGAAGTGCAGACAGTTGGACTATGGAGCCACAGTCATCTCTTGCTATCTCATCAATCAAAAACACTGGCTTGGCAATTCGCAATCACCACAGAGTAGGGCTTTTGTGCGGAAGTTAAGCGATTAAATCTGGCCCCAAGCCTTTGGTCCCATTATGAAGATCTTTGGATGAAGCTCAAATTCCATTTGATAATTTCTATTGTAAAATGTGAAGAGATGGAGGATTTAAAGTAGCTTATTAGAACGATGTTTCATATCGATCTGATGAGAAGCTATAACATCAACTAACCGTCTCACCCCAGAGCTCAAAAGAATGGTCCCAACGGTTAGCGTTATTTTGCTAAATCTTTCCCATTCTTCCAGCCGCATCCAGTCGAATCACTCGAGATCGGCACACAGACAAACCAATGTCAAACGGGCAAAGAGCCCGGTAAGACGAACAAGATCAGAACCCAAGCAATTATCAGAAATAGAAGTGTTAACTCTATGCAGAAAGCACACCTGCTCCATTCAGATAAGTATTGCGAATACATTCCATCACCAACGATGAAAACTCTCCAGGGTCACCAAACCTCAGCGGATATTCGACCGTTTTGAGAAGATTTCTCTTGACTGCTGGGGAGATGCTCTTCCCCATCTGAGTATCGAAGAGTGACGGAGCAATTGCATTGACTCGGATTCCTGTCCGATTGAAGCAGTCAGGAATTTAGTGTCAGGTTCTTTCTATTCATAATTTATCATGCCGTCCTCGCGGAAATGACTTCCGTTTCTAAGTCGTACCATCAACTGTGGACTCACCAAATCTTGCTAAATCTCTGGCCATCGGTAACACCATACTTGCAACCCCGCCTTTACTTGCAGCATATCCAACCTGACCTACCTGACCGTCTTGATAGCTGGTCGAGCTCGTCAATATGATAACGCCTTCATCATGTTTCGCTTTTTGGTCTGTTTTCGATTTCTCGATGGACAGTTTCTGCTTGGCAATTTCCGTTGCCACCAAGCGCGCAACATTGAAGCTACCAGTCTATCAGAAAGGTTGTATATCAGTGGATAGGCCTGAGGCGGTCGCGAGTGTTTTTTTTCTCGTTGACGACCATTTTTTCTGCTGAAGGTGAAAATTGAGCACTGGTCCTGCAATGAAGACAAACTGACGAGGTTGATATCGATCACGGATTTGAAGATTTCAAGGCTACCGGCTTGTCCGCTTGAGCTGACGGTCTTGAGCGAAGATGATGGTGTCAGGCTTCGACGAATGATCGGCCGCATTAAGCAATCTTACTCTGGTAGACAATATGTAGACTTGAGAATGGACTCGAAACGAAGAGTACGTATGTGTTGTGGCCAACCTTATCTGCGGCCCCGACGCCGGCGCAATGGACTAGTCCTCCGATCGTTCTTTCTGGCCAGGTCTCAAGAGCTTTTTTGATGCCCGAGTGGATCTCCAATTCTGAGCGTACATCGGCTGCTTGAAAGAGTACCCGCTTCAACGATTACACAACGATAAAGGAAATAATCAATATATGTTTCCCTTCAACACAGCCACTGCAAGAACTTACGCTATCATGCTTTTTTTGTAGAGCTCTTCCCTGTTCTTCATCTCTATCAAACACGCACACCAAACCACGAAGTGCGAGTAGCTCCTCCATCACCGCCAAGCCCAGGCCCGAGCAGCCTCCAGTCACACTAGATATCATGCCAAGTGAAGCACATCAACAATTTCCTTGTATTTCAAAAAGAATCTCATTGTGGACTCACAAGAATATCCTATTTTTAATTTCCATATCGTGGGTTCACATACAACACGATCAAATGTGGCACCTATTTTGGAAAGTTACACTTCATAGGATAGTGCTGGTCAGGATTCGGAAACCCAGGAAACTGACGGGGCCGGATGCCCCCCCGTTTCAAGCTTGAGTAACGGGCCCCTCGTGCCCCGAGACTCCGCAACCACCCACCACCCCCGGCCCTCGGGACATCAAGCTAGCCCTTGGGAACCAAGTTTTAGGAGTTTGCTGCACTACATAGGCCCATTAGATGCTTGAGGTGATGCAAAGCATTGTTTTATTGCACTACCCATTTCAGTGATAGTTAGAGGCTTGATTTCTCATTAGTCTCAGTTACTTGATAGCATTCAGTATGTGGTTGAAGAGTCCAAATGTTTCTATTCCAGTTTGTTCATACAGATAAAATTCCATCTGGGAGCTTTAAGTAAGTAGAATCTAAATATAATCCTGTTCAATTGTTAATCCATTTTTGCTAGAATTTGGAATAGAACATCCTTTGATAAGAAATGCAGAAATATTTTTCAGGTGGCAAGATGAGAAGTTTCTGGTCTTGTTTTTTTGCAAGGCTATGTGCCTATTTGATGGCAAAAAATATCTTGGGCTCTGTTTGGCAGTGACATCATGCAAGCAAGAAATTATTTTTTCTTGTGACATCCTATATGACATCTGATCAGGTCCACCAAAAATTGATCAGATGTCACAAGAATCTGCAATATATTGCTGCCAAATGAAATGGGGCCTTGGTTTTTGTTATGGTCAAAATTGATGAGCAATTCACTTGAATTTTTTGGGGCAGCCACTGCCACTGCCCACAGCAAAATCATGTTTGAGGCAGCCACTGTCCAAAGAAAAACAATGATTGAATCAAACAAAGCGGTATCTTTCATGGACAAAGTGGATGACTTGCCATTGCAATCTACAACCCTCCCCCCTCTAGATCTTAATTTTTGTGGAAAAAAACTTACGAAGCCTTGTGGTAGTGGCTCCCATGTGAGCTGGCTGTGATTCTGATTTGGCCATCAGTTTAAGACTTAGAGGGGCTTAAAAAGCACTTCAAAAGCAACAGGAAAAACTGCAGTTCATTGAACAGTAAGAAATTTAGAAAAAAATGGATTTGTCCCTGTAATTTCCAGTCATTCACTTGACCATTTCCTCTAACTGATATTTATTGCAGCTGCTTTGACAAGAACATTTTCTGATAATCTTTCTTAATCATATCGGTAATATCATCAAAAATAGAGTCTTGAAAAAACCATTCTTACCCCCCACTGCTAACAAGCCACATTGACTTGGATTTGTCTGCACTGATCAAAATAAAAAGTACTGCCAAGATTACGTGGGAAAATGTTATTCAAGAAAACTCCAATACCGCACTTTGATCTAGGATGGCTGCAGGCTCAGGTCTGCATCAGAATCTGTAAAAGATTGAGCTGCGACTGCCGTGATTGTATGTATGTACCGCTATCAAGTCAAGTGCCACCGGAAAACAGGACACGGTTAAAAGATTGAAACTTACCTCCAATTTGAAACTTGCAATTTAGGTTTTACTGTGCAAAGGTTGCTACAGTTGGCGTCTGTAACGCGAAAATTGGAAAAATTAAATAGAGCCCGGTCATTTCCCCTCTTTCCTCCCACAAGATTACCCAGACAATGTCTTTCTATAACCAGATACCATTAGGGTTGGGTTCAACCAAAACGAATTGCTTCCTTATTTTATCACTCTTAATCATTGTCCATATCCACGTAGTCTTAGCGGTCGAATCTAGAATCTTCATCGATCTAGACCCCCCTGATGAAATAGTCGAAGAAGCGGCAAATGGGGAAAGTCCATCCAGCGTGGTAGAGTGTCACCCGCGATATTTATCTCCATTACCACTGTTTCCGACCTCAGCGAGTCCTCACCTGGAGGAGAGCGTCATTTCCCATCCAGCACATTCCCCGGAGACTACACCGCCAGAAGCTTCGAGTAGTTTGAGTGTGTAATATTCCACTTCTTGTTTCTCGTTACCTTGTTGGATGATTGGCTGAAGAATGAGAGCCCCGGCTTGTGACGATTCGTCTGTCTCAGGTCTTTCCCTGTCTGATGGATTTGGATTAGGTAGAAAACGGCCCCAAACTGAGAAAAAAGGCTCTCAAAGAGAAGAAGAATTCCAACAGCCTGCTCCGAAAAGACTTTCTTTGGGACTAGATTTATCCTTGGGTCATTCCCGAAACATTGATCCTCAGCCCCACGATGAAGGTCTATCAGTGCACACATCAGAGGAACAGCAACATGGTAAACAAGTTTTAACTGCCCCAAAAGTCAGACAAAAAGAGCACTCCCTAACATGATGGACATACTTTTGTGTAGAAATGAATGCCCCAAAAGATCTCCACGAAGAAAATGCAGTGCTTAAAAACCAGGGTCATTGGCTTCTGAGTAAGAATAAACATGAAAAAGGTGCGGCAAGTTTGACCGGTTCAACTCTTATGGGTACGGAAAAAGTAGTCAGAAAATTTGAACCCGGGGGTGTCAGTGAAGCTTTTTGGGCTTGGGTTTGGGTAATTTGGGAACACGTTGGAAAATCAGCAACTTGGGAAGTAGAAAGTTACCTCGAACCTTCAATGGAGGATTTAAAATCTTGGTGTTTTCGCCCAAATTCCTTATATCCGTATCCAAACATAAAAAAAGTGGGAGAAACTTCTGATAGCAATTGGCAACATGATCAAATCAACCTCTTTGCTTCCTTATTGTGGGCTGTGAATAGTAGGGTGCTTGAAATCATCGGGGTTGGGCACCTCAATCTTGTTCAACCAGGCGGTCATTTTGAAAAATTCAGTGCATATTATTTTGGAGAACAGAGCGCTATGATCAAATGGTTTTTTGGGTTTATGAAGCTTTTCAACAATCCCGACGCAAGTGCCCCGGTGAATCACAAAGATACTTACGATTTTCTGATAGCTAAAAAAGGAAAAATGATTTACGAAAAGATCTTGAGAGCTCTTCATTCTATTTCCGACAAAAGATGCCATCAGACCTTCCGGCCGAAATATTCAAAGGATTATTTCTTCACTTTGGAAAAAGAATTACTGATGAGTGAAGCGGTCATATACCTACTGGGATTTTACTACAAAAATACAAACTTCCAAAAATGGAAATATGCTTTCAAAGGACAAGACATGGACTTTGTGACTAAACTGGAAAACCTGGGAGAATTCTGGAAAGACAGGGAGATGTGGTTTTTCCCACTTGAACACAATTTAGTACCCTGGAAGAATCCATGCACACAAGACCTACCATGGATTGGTCTTAGTCATTTCCATATCCATCAGTTCAATTTCATGCACCACATCCAACCAATTCATCTTACCAAGCCAATTGCAAATCTGTGGAAGATAGGTGACAGCGAAAAATTCCGTATCTCAAACTGGTTTACTTTGGATAGTGTGCCAGACCTTCAAGCTAGATTGAAAATTATCTCAAATCTCAACCCATTAGGACAAATCGAACTGATGCCAGAAATGCAACCCGATTCCAGATTGATTCGAATTACTGAAGACTATCTTTCAAGCTTGCAGAGTGATCCTTCAAATAAACATTCAGTGATTCCGTATGTGATGGATTTTTCGAATATTCAGGCACAATTACTCCCTCTGTTTAAACTGGTTTGGCAAATCGATGGAAAGATACTTCAATCGATGGGTTGCGAAATTTACCAAGAAGATTTTTTGAAAGAGCAAAAATTAGTGCAACGTTATTTTGAATTTCTTATGAATCCAAATCATGAAAAGGATCTCAGCCTTGAAACTCTTGGTGAACATCAAAATAGTGACCTTGATGCTTTCAAGAAAGCATTTCAAAACGAAGTGATGGAACTATTGTATTCAGATCACCATGACCTTGTGCATAAGACTACAAATCCAGAAGCTTCCCAATCACCAAAGGCAAACATACCAAAAGAAATTAGAATGTGCAGGATAGCAATTCTTCTGATTGGAAACTATTACAAAAATGTCAATTTTCAAAAGTGGCAGGGTATTATTGGTGCAGATATTTCTCTGTTAGGCTGGATCAGGAGGTTTAGTGATCCAGATAAATGGCTTTATTACTCAAGAGCCCTATTTCCCCAAATGAAATCCCATAACTTAATTCCATGGAAGGATGAAATGAAAAATCCAAGCTTATTGTTCATAAAATCAAAGGAGACATTTTCATTTCATGATGGAAATGATAGTGATGGGGAATTATTTGTTTGATTTGCTATCCATAGTTAGAATCATAATCTAGCCCATATCAATTGGGACATCAAAATTTCAAAAAATTGGAAATGTGTAAATCTGATATCCTCTTGGTTACAAAAATCTGAAAATTAGCAAGGAAAATTTAAATAACACAGATGCCACAAAAGATATTGGTATATATAAATCAGAAATTAGGTCTCTTTCAGATATAAATACTTCTTCAAAGAAAATACTCAACTTCTCTCATTTTTGACTTCATAAAATGGCCATTTTTCCTCTTTTTTTCTTATATATCACACTTCAATCATTTACATATTATGAAGTTTTATTGAATTACATAATATTTGAAAAACCACAAGATATATGATATCAGCAAAAAAAACAAAAAAAAACAGCTCCTTGATTTTCATGAATGCTAGTAACCTATAATCATCACTTCCAGAATGAGAGGTCAACATTCTTGACCTTGTTGAATTGATTGCCTCATCAAGTGTCCTGATAAGGAATCTAGATTTTGCGCTTTATTGATGCAAAAATTCTGGGACGTGGGCTTGCCTAGCCAGTCATGATGAGCCTCCCACCATTGTAGGGTGGAAAACAAGCTTGATCCAAAATTAAGGGGGTTGGAAAAACGACTCCCAAAAATTAGTCGACGACTCCCGTTTTGGTCGAGGGGTCGTCGGCTGGGAGTCGTTCTTCCAAAAGATGGCCGACTTTGGGAGTCGGCCATCAAATGTTTTTTTTTATTTTTTTAATTTATTTTTGGGGAGTCGGCGCCCCAAACCGCCCCTCATGCTTAAGGGGGTTTGGGAGTCGTCGCTCCCGCTCCCATGACCGGAAGGATTTCCTCCTTCCGGTCGACAAGAAAAAAAAGTCTCATGGACCGGAAAGGATTCCTTCCGGTCGATGAGGTAAAAC